ACATAAATTCATCATCACATCCATATAGTAATGCTGCTTATTTAAAAAAGCAGATTATGTGATTTAAATAGACTACATTTAGCAAAACTGTAGAACCGTTGTGCAACAATCAGTTTGCTATCCAATAAGATTTTGACTTTGGCAAGATAACAAACACTAAATGGATGCCTCAGACTGTTTCATCAAGCTTGCGATATTACTTAGCCTACATTCACGTTTGAGCTTCTTATCCTGTAGAAAATGTAGCCTAAGCCTAGCTCGTGTTATAATAGCGAAAACTCAGAGATTTTCATTTCGTTTTTAAGACCAATTAGTCAGAACAAATGAGTCATGTGATAGCTTCTCAGCTAATTGACTCCTCAGACCTCAGACCTGTAGAGTCAAAACACGATATTCCAAAACGTGTTCGTCGAAAATGAAAACCGACAAATTGTGGTAATTTTATGCAATGCATCTCTGTAGGTTGCCCCTCCTACTAAAATATCATCCTAAGAATTGAGATGGAAAACTGACAGTATATAAGCCACACGTTATAAAAGTTAGCGCGTGACTTTAATCTGATGAGTGACAATAAGATTACACGATGTCAACCCTGTTTGTGGACTGATGTGCAAGAGTTGGATATACATCTGTGGGCTACTTCGCTCCTGGGTGTGTGTTAGTGTGTGTGCAAAAGTAAAACTACAAACCAAACCCCTGTAAAATGCCACTATTTTCTTTCCATCAGTGTTATGGGAGCATGTTTAATGTGCAAGGTGTGTTTGCCTAATTTTGCATGTGTGTGGGAGGAGGTAAGGCTCAGATGCAAAATAAGAATCGTTATTCTATCAACCAGTTTATAAAACAGAGCAACAAGTCAGATGTGTATAACAAGCCTGAGCTGAAACTGTCACTGTGTGTCTTGAAATTGTGCTACGCTCTTTTTTCCCAACCATATTTAATTCTGTCTCTTACAACTCTAATGGAGTTGCTCAGTATTGTTGCCTGTGCCATATCACAGTGGAAGTGAGAAAAGAACAGAGAGGGTGCAATGTACCTTGTAACTAGGCTATTAGTTAGAGTTTCTGGTTACACTTTACTTGAAGGGGTGTGCATAAGACTGACATGACACCTACATAATCATGGCATGACACGTGTCATGAATATGAAGGTTTTTTTATGCATGTTTATAACAACTGTCATTAAGTGTCATTCGCTCAGTTATGTAATTTTTAATGCAAAGATGACATTGTTTAAGATGTCTTTGTTATGGGCTATGGTTAGGGTAGGAGGGTTAGGTCAAATAATGTCATATTTGCATTAAAAATTACATAACTGAGCGAATGACACTTAATGACAGTTGTCATAAACACGCATAACACCTCCTTCATATTCATGACATGTGTCATGCCATGATTATGAAGGTGTCATGTCAGTCTTATGCACACCCCTTCAAGTAAAGTGTTACTGAGTTTCTTATAGACAGATTGGTATGAGTGATGCTAAAGACATGTTAATAATATTTTTTAAATGTTTAGAATTCATGTGATATGAATAAAATTGGAAATAGATTACAAAAATCTAAACTTTGATGGACTTTTTGTTTAGAAAATTGTGGAACCGTGACACATGACAACTGAAATGATGAATATAACTTCTCTTCTCTTGGATGGTTAATTTCTTGTCCAGCTGGGATGTCCTGGAGCCCCTCCTCCCCCTCCACCATGTCCTTGCTCAGCAGACCTTGGTTGACCTGAATACCTCAGACTTATAGCAGAACAGGGGGTCCCTGATTCTCAATCAGCTACACATGAATGCACACGCATAGACTGTGACAGCACATGTCTTGGTTAGTTGTTTTAATGAGTGACACAAGTGCAAAAAGACACATTTTCCCTCTCACACAATATGAGAGACAAAGTGAGCGATAAAGACAGAGGGAATCGTCAGGCATGTTAACCGAGTCTGACCAAGCAGCCTACAGACTCAGCGACAACAGAGAAGTTGTTGTAAGATCCTGAAAACCGAAATAGAAAAGGAAAGAGAGCGACTGTAAAGCATCTAGGCTATAGATTCTCGATTGCAGTCAACATACACTGTTCAACAAATAGGCTACTGCTTTACCTTCTATGCTGTTCATGCCATTTTTT